CGTCGTCGTCATCATCTCTCAGCCATTGTCAGTCCACTGCTGGACGTGGAGGGATGGGCGTCTTTGTCGAAAAAAAGTCAGTGGCGACCGATGTCCGAACCGGTTCTGCCCCTCACCCCACGTCCCCCGCAGCCTCACCAATACGTACTGACCAAAGTGGTGAAGTATGACCCTAGCATCCCCCATGAGTCAAAGGGGCTCCGTTAAGCAGTGGGTTGACACCTGGCCTGTAAACTGTCACGCGTGTGTTGAGTTTCTTACCGATACAATAATCCGGGGCCTGTCCATCGCGTGTAATCCAATGTCCCACTGCGGTACAGAATTACGTGGAATAAACACCCACGGTGTATCCCTTCTCACCCCCCCCGCCCCCCCGTTGGGATGGCACTCATTTCGTCCCGTGGCTTAGCATCATCTGCCTCGAGTGTTTCCTCTGGGTTCTCTGTCCAGGTGTTATGATGATGATGCTGACATTATCGGACGAGGTGTCTGTTGAAGACCGTCTCCCTTTCAACCCTGGCGATCTGTCCAGGATGCCCCCGGGCATCTGTGTCTTTGACGCGGTACATCTCAAAATGCCCCTTATCTGTCATTGTTTCCATTTCATTCCCGCTGCCAACATCGCTGTGAGCCGCGCCAGTCTTTTTGCTGGCGGTGGTGGTGCAGAAAGTTGGCACATCTTCTTGGTTCTTTCGGTAAAGTCACGTAGAAGGGAAATAATAAAATAATAAAAATAAAACATTATAAAATAATTCTCACGACGTTTCGGCCACAACGCAAGCAGCCGTCCTTTAGGTGAAGACCAGGTCTGTCGGGGAGACAGCGTCTGACGCTGTCTCCCCGACAGACCTGGTCTTCTTATTTTATTATGTTTTATTTTATTATTTTATTACTTCCCTTCTACGTGACTTTCCCGAAAGAACCAAGAAGATGAATCCCTGCAGTCACAAAAGCTTTTAATCGAAATTTAAAGTTGGCACAGTGGAGGGCAAAGCCGGTGCATCCGCCAACCATCTCAGTCAGTCAACCCATGGCAGCTGGGTCCGTCCCGTGACCTCCTGTCAGCAGCGAGCATTCGACACTACACGTGGCCTCAGAGTGCACCTGGCCTGGCGATGACAAACCTGCACGAGCAATCGATAATCTTCTGGGGTGAGGAGGGGAGGGGGGATATCTTTTACACAATCGCCACCCGCTTGGAAGGTCGAGCCGAAGTAAGTGAATTAATCAACCTGCTCCAGATCATTTGGTTTCTGATGGTGCGCGTGTGTTTTTCTTTGTTAATATACTGGGGAGCGGTAGTGTAGCAGTTAGCGCGCCGCGCTACGAACCCGGCGACCCGAGTTGGACACCAGTGACGATTATCTGAACTGGTCATGGGCCTCCCCTAGGTCGACTCAGCCTCAAATTAGTACCTGGTGTGGTGTGTAAACATCGCCACTGGGGAGACAAAGGCGGTCAGGCGTGGTGCTGGCCACCCACTCCCTCGTGTGCCGTGGCGGCCTTCATAGGTGCTCGCTAACAGCACTTGCTCCAACAGTCTGTTCAAGCTATACGGGGGATGTTTGTCTTTCTTGTTGATATAATCTTCAGTTTTCTTTCTAATGTTGATCAATGCACGCCACTGATATTAAACATAGCCTGGGATTTAACTCGGGTTGTTGGGTTCAAAGCGGAAAGCGATCACCACCATGCCAGCGCCCCTCCCAACACTCCCTACAAAGACTACGATTCCCCATATAGCTTTAACCAGCTGTTGGGGCAAGTGCAGTTAGCGAGCAGCACCTATGAAGGCCGGCACGACGCACGAGGGGGTGGGTGGCCATCACCACGCCCGACCGCCTTTGTCTCCCCTAGTGGCGATGTTTACACATCGGCACCAGGTGCTCATTTGAGGCTGAGTCGACCTAGGTGGACGGCCGAGTTCAGGTAAATCGTCACCGGTGTTGGCCGCGAGCGGGAATCGAACTCGGGCCGTCGGGTTCACGGCGCAGTACGCTTACCGTTGCCCACACACACCCACACGTACACAGCACACGTACACAGCACACGTACACAGCACACGTACACAGCACACGTACACAGCACACGTACACAGCACACGTACACAGCACACGTACACAGCACACGTACACAGCACACACACACACACACCGAAGGGCTAATGCAGGTCCCATTTGATTAACAAAATGAGGCAGCCGGGCTGGCTGGAGTGCACGTTCGGCAGAGTCAATACAGATAAGTGACCCATATTGGCCAATGGACTTAATTGAATGACGCGGGTAATTGAATGATACTGGTAATTGAATGATGCCCGTTTCCCGTTGCAATTCACATTAAAGCCACATGTGCGGAGGCACTGACAGCGAACACAGGCAAAGCCAGATTATTTGGTAACGCAATAAATGTAGAAGTCAAGATGTGGTTTCTTTAATCTTGAAAATTAAACACGGTTACATCACATGCACTGACAGGATCAATATATCTTCTTGGTTCTTTCGGTGAAGTCACGTAGAATGGAAATAATAAAATAATAAAAAGAAAACCTAATGAACTAATTCTCACGACGTTTCGGCCACAACACAAGCAGCCGTCCTCAGGTGGAGAGCAGGTCTGTCGAGAAGACAGAGTCTGAATGAACCAAGAAGATGAATCCCTGCAGTCACGAAAGCTTTAAATCGAGGATCAATATATTTCAGTCGCATTCCTTCCAACGGTGAAACTGCCCGTGCAGGTTTTGACTTCGCTTGGTCTCATCAGCAAGGTTTGTGGCCTGATGCACCAATGCCACCGGGTTGTACGACGTTTTGCAAAGTTGCGTTGCGGCAGATGTTGCATAAACGCCGCAGTTTGCTGCGACATCATTTATTTACTGATCGAATGGATCGTGGATAAGGGAAATATCATGATCATCGTTATCACTAACCATGGTCAATCCACTGCTGGATGAATGTAACCCCATGCCTTGGCACGGTCCATTGGGGGAGGAGGGCAGTTGTTTGACCATACTTCACCACGCTGGCCAACGCCGGTTCGTGAAGGAAATGGCGACCAGGACCAGTTGAGCCATCGCACGCCACTGATGTTAGCCGTGGGCGGGATTCGAACCGTGGTGGCCGGTTCTTGAGTGCAGCACACTCACCGCTGCGACAGCCGTGCCACTGTTTCTGAGAGGGAGCGTGAACACCAAACCTTGAGCTATACGCACTCGATCATGTAAATTCTCACTGCGTGTTTACTCATCAGACCGATTTAGTAAACAGTTTGCATCATGCCCTTTATACCGCTTGGCTGCCGGTCTGCCTGGCAAAAGAAGATATAAAAATAACTTGTTTTACATTTTTGTTTTACTTTACCAGGTAAGGCCCACTGGAGCTGTAGGCTCTTTTGTTCAGAAGCGACGTGGCCACAAACGATAACTCGACGAAGCGGCGGCTTGTCATCATGTGGACATTTCTAGCAGCAAAACACTCTAATTGCGCGTTTCTAAATGTGCAGGGAAAACCCGGAGGATCCAGAGAAAACATCCACGCGACCACAGGGGAGAGAGCCACGTGACGTCCAAATATAGAGGTGTGAGAGTCGGGATCCAACCCACGACATCCTGCACACCAGGCGAGGTAGTTAACATCACGCCACAGCGGCGCCCTCAATGGGATGATGCCCGATGGTCAAGAGCAATAACGGAGTGGCAGCCAAGGAATGGAACGCTTCCTGAGAAAGCAGACGTACACCGAGGAGATGGAACGATGGCAAACACATCGCGTGCAGATGCTGGGTGTATTGTTACCATCAGGATCGTGAGAGGTGGTGGTGGTGGTGGTTGGTGGTGGTGGTGGTGGGGGTGGTGTTGGTGGTGGTGTGGTGGTTGGTGGGGTGGTGGTGGTGGTGGTTGGTGGTGGTGGTGGTGGTGGTGGTGGTTGGTGGTGGTGGTGGGGTGGGGTGTTGGTGGTTGGTGGTGGTTGGTGGTGGTGGTGGTGGTGGTGGTGTTGGTGGTTGGTGGTGTTGGTGGTGGTAGTGGTGGTGGTGGTGGTGGTGGTGGTTGGTGGTGGTGGTTGGTGGTGGTTGGTGGTGGTGGTGGTGGTTGGTGATGGTTGATGATGGTGGTTGGTGGTGGTTGGTGGTGGTTGGTGGTGGTGGTGGTGGTTGGTGGTTGGTGGTGTTGGTGGTGGTGGTAGTGGTTGGTGGTGGTGGTTGTGGCTTGGGGAGACCGCCTTCATCCAGCAGTGCATCGTCGTTGCGCCAGCGCGTCTCAGCGGGGGCTGCCCCATCCTCCCCCCACCCCACCCCACCCCACCCCCCCACCCCCCACAGCTCTCAGCGAGCGCAATGCAATTGGGGGCCAAATTGAGTTAAGAAAAAAAGAACGACTGCACACAAAGCGACGCGTCCGTCGGCGGGGCAAGACACCAGCCGCGTGGACGTGACTCATTGTGACGTGCGTCTCGAACACGCTGCCTCCCCGCTGATGAATGCACTCGCATCCACTGCGATGAACTAGAATGAGGCCGAACGTTAAAGCCGAATCGCTGGGAAAATTAGCGTCTGGGACCCCTTCGCTCGAACGGTTTCTTGTTTGTCGATTTAAAGCTTTCGTGACTGCAGGGATTCATCTTCTTGGTTCTTTCGGTAAAGTCACGTAGAAGGGAAATAATAAAATAATAAAAATAAAACATAATAAAATAATTCTCACGACGTTTCGGCCACAACGCAAGCAGCCGTCCTCGGGTGAAGACCAGGTCTGTCGGGGAGACAGCGTCTTATTTTTATTATTTTATTATTTCCCTTCTACGTGACTACCGAAAGAACCAAGAAGAGGTTTCTTGTTTGTCGTCGTCGTGATGCGGGTGCCGTAGTCTGGGCCCGCTAGCCACGGGGCCACTCGAGTGAGTGTGCGTGTGTGTGTGTGCGCGCGCGCGTGTATTTCAGACGACATGAAATAATGCAATGGTAAAATATATAATAAGAAAGAGAGACAGCGAGCGATGTCGGTAAACGCGTCATTGCTCGCTGTCCAGCCCCATGCCCTGGGCGGATGTCTTGTCGGCGGCGCGTCTGATGCAGGTGGTAATCTGCCTCCTCGACACAATTATGGCAACGATGGCTGCCAGTGGGTTTAGGATCTGTGCTAAATGGGGCGGTGTACAGGGGGGGGGGGGGGTGTCACAGTGTGCTCAACTGCCTGTACAGGAGTTGTTACACTCTCCCGGGGGCACATTGAACTCATTCATTCTCGATGCGAGCATTAACGAGGTAATCTCAGGCCACCGGCGGATGCGGGATTCTACGGAGTGTCATCGGGCCCGTTGCACCAGGATCGACGCGTCTCGCTGCTCAGTCTCCCAGGCTGAGCACGGTACCGATGGTGGGAAATTCCACATTCCTACGGCAGGATTTGGCCTGTCCGTAGGATGACCCATTATTGGACTTCTCACCGAGTGGGACTTTAAAAAAATTGAGCGTGGAGAACTACAACACGTCTAAAAGTACAAAACTATTTTAAATTTACCAGATAAGGCCTACTAAGCTATATAGATATTGTTTTAAAAAGCGACCTGGCAACAAATGATAGCTCAACGAAGTGGATTATCACATGAAAATTGATAGCAGCCCAATAACGTGATGTTGATTCTAAATGTGGAAGGAAAAACCAGAGGGCCTGGTGGAAAATCCACGTGACCACGGGCAGAGAAAGAGAGACACGCAAACTCCACAGATATACAGCAGGCGTCAGGATCAGAATCGAATCCACGACCTCCTGCATACCAGGCGAGGGAGTTAACATCTCCAAGTCACTGTAATGATGATGAGAGAGACACGCAAACTCAAAATATACAACAGGCGTCACTCAGGGTCGGGATCGAACCCAGACCTCCTGCATACCAGGCGAGGTAGTTAACATCTCCTAGCCACTGTGATGATGATGAGAGAGAGAGAGACACGCAAACTCCACAGATATACAGGCGTCAATCAGGGTCGGGATCGAATCCACGACATCCTGCATACCAGGCGAGGGAGTTAACATCTCCTAGCCACCGCGGCGCCCTCGATGGGATGACCCGATGGTCGAAAGCAACAACGGAGTGGCAGCTATGAAGTGGAACCCGCCCGGAGAGAGAAAACGTCCACCGGGGAGATGGAACGATGACAAACATCTCTCGTGCAGATGCTGGATCGTCAGAGGAGGTGGTGGTTGGTGACTTGGGGAGGCCTTCATCCAGCAGTGGACTGACCAGGCTGCTGCCGATGATGATGATGATGTCACATTGCACGGTGTATCCGCAGTATTGTTCGCCGTGGCCAGAATGCCCGTGCTTTGTGGCAGTCCGATTATAAACACGCCACGTTGGTCAACAAACAACAGCGGTCAGCGTAAAATAAATCAGTAAATGAACCATGGGGGACGGTGACAAAAATCGCGTGTGATTTTAAAACTTTTAATACAAAAATTAAAGAAACCTACAGCCACCTTCATCACAGAAATGTGTACAACAAATAACACTTAAATCCAGTCAACGTGACGATAACAAGTTCGTATTTTTCGTGTTTTTTTTGTATATTTTCGTTTTAAAGACTACACCTTATTATAATCAGTCTTGCAAATACCCACGTCAATAAGTATACTACAGATGCTTAC